TCCCACAACAGTATCCCTGAGGCACACCCAATTCCATCAAGCACTAATATCCTATATTGCTTTTCTCTTTTCTTTCTGTCACTTGCATGATTTAGTAATGTCCTTTTTTATAGACACGGTAAGACAATTCATGCTATGCTTTGTAACATGAGAGTTAATTGACTCCAAATAATATTTACTCCTGAGCATCCATATTTAAGCCTCAGTTGTCCTTAGTTCCTGGCACTCTAAAAGCAGGGTCCCAACGAAAGGACTGGATGCACCCAGGGCAAGAGGTAAGCTACCCTAGCATTGAAAGGGGACAAGCTAAGCACCATAAGTATAATAAGTTAAGAGCATGATTATGGAATAAACTGTCATGACCCAAACAGAAGTAACTGAATAAGGACCTTGCTGAGGGCTGGGATATATAGTGAAATGTCCCTAGGAAGAGCCAATCTTTAAGCTTAATGTATCTCTTACTGTCTTCATACAAAATGACTGGAAATACTATAAGAAGTAAATTTACTATGATTGTTTAAATGGATTACTAGTTAAGGAAAGGATAAAGCAACACACCTGGATGGAATCCCGCCCTTGAGCGGATCTTCTAGTAATCTGGAGTGCTGAACCCTCAGATGAGATTTTGTCCTTAAATTAATCCCCTGAACTTCCCTTGAAGGAGTGGCTTTACCTCTGCTTTTTGTTATGACAGTGTTCAACCCCACCTAAGTGTACCCTCACCATTCATGATTTCTATATAACTATGCTGTAAGGGGTAAGAGACTAGGAGAGGACTTTGAGGTCTACGAGGAGACTAGGATGATGGAACTATGATGACAGAGAATACGACCACCTACAACTACGATTGTGCTGTAAGGGAGAGATGGGACTACACTGGGGAAGAGAGAGAAATAAACTCACTACCGACCAGCCTGGGGTCCTGTTTCTCCATTCCCCCATCCCTCCATCCATCTGTCACCGTGGGCCAGCCAGAAGAATGGTTCATGGCCACCAAACGCTTGAGTCCCCCACGCGTGTCCCCATGTTTCTTTTGACACTCACACTAATGTAACACTGCGCATACACTAAGGTCCATAGTTTTGGACTTGCTCTGTGCTGTTCTGTGACTTTTGACAAACGCACTCCCTATTTTGTTATCATGTCATTTCTCTGCCTTAGAATTCCCCTGTGCTCCACCAACTAATCTCTCTTCCTGCCACCACCACCTCTAGCAGAAACCGATCTTTGTGGAGGGGTGTGAAGCCTCCCAGACACTCTCTGGGTAGAGAAGCCACTCCCAGTGAGACCCAGCCCGCCTGAGGGAACCTGATATGCAGGGAACCTGGAACCACTTGTTCCCCTCCAGGTATCTCCGACAACCCCAAACACCAATCTCACGGCCGACTCCATTGCTTCCTTTCCCCAAATGCCTTATATTTGGAACCAGACGACATGTCCCCTTTTCAGGTTAGCTCTCTCCACTTTAACTTTCCTCCAGGCCTTTCTGTAGTTCGGTAGTTCACTTCTTATTCATGTCGGAAGTACTCCACCCATTGCTTAACACATGCCATAGTGGTTTATATTCACCTATTGAAGAGCACAAAGAATGCTTTGTTTCCCTTCGGTGCAGGAGTGAGGTCGAGAGCTCTGTACACACATCATGTGCTCTGCTCCTGGGCTATATCCCAGCCCTGAAGTGCATCTTGAGTGCCTCTGAGTTTGGGCAATTGTGGATAAAACTGCTTTAATCACTCTCTTATACAAGGTTTTGTGTGGAGATAGTTTTCAATTACCAAGAAGTGTAGTAGTTGATTCTTTTATGGGGAGGCAGGGGAGAATTGGGCTAGTGGTACTCAGGGCTTACCTCTAGCTCTGTGCTCAAAGACCACTCCTGGCAGTGCTCAGGGAATCATATGTGGTGCCAGGGATCAAACTGGGGGCAGTCACATGCGCAGGCAAGTGCCTTGGCCCTGTTTTTTCTCTCTTTGGTCCTTTATTTGAGATTTCTTAATGGCCCATGACGCGGGGTATCTTTCATCACCTACAAACCTTCTTGAAAAGGGGTCTTAGAGGGGCCTAGATCTTCTTTTTGGAGCCACACGAGGCTGTTCTCAGGGCTCTTGCTCAGGGATCACGTGTGCCAGGGCTTGAAGGATGAAGTGGGGTGCTGGGGATCAAACCCTAGTTGGCTGCTTGAAAGACTGTGCTTTTCCTGTTGTGCTATTCCCCCACCCCACGCCCATTTTCACTTTGTGTTCTTCGAACAGGGATCAAGCCCAGGAGCTCAAATATGCAAAGGAAACATTTCATTGCTGAGCTACATCCCTGGTCCAACTTTTTCCCATCCTTCATTGGACTACTGGTTTTCTGGTTAGTAAATAATACTGTCCATTTTTTCTGTCTGCATTTCTACTCACTACAGTGCCAGCAGTGCTCTTGAGAAGAGAACTTTGGTTTGCTTTTGAGGACCACACTTGGTTGTGCTCGGGGGCCATTCCCTGTGCTGTGTGTTAGTGGCTCCTGGCAGTGCTCTGGGTCCGTGCATGTGGTATCAGAGCTGGAACACAGCTTCCTGCATGCACAGGGTGAGCTCAGTCCACTGGGCCATTTTTCTTTTTTTGGAGGGGGTAGCTTTTTGGGTCACGCCCAGCAGTGCTCTGGGGTTACTCCTGGCTCTGCACTCGGGAATTACTCCTGTGGTGCTCAGGGGACCATATGGGATGCTGGGGATTGAACCTGGGTTGGCTGTGTGCCAGGCAAATGCCCTCCCTGCTGTGCTATCACTCCGGCCACTGGGCCATTTCTTTGTCCCCTCAGGAGTATTGGGAGGGGCACCCAGCAGTATTCCACTCTTTGTGGTGCTCAAGGGATGGGGTGCCTTGGCTCCAACTCAGGCCACAGAGTTCCAGGGTGCCCAGGTGGAAAGTGCAAAGACTCCTGTGACCTCACATCTGCCAACTGAATCATCACCTGACAACATTCCGTGGCTCCGGCATGTTTGTCCAGCCCAGATCCAAGGGGAAGGAGGGTGAGGCCCCACCTGGGTGGCAGGACAGGTGGGGGCTGTGGCATTTCTGACCGACCTCCCAGGCAGTTCTGTTTCTGAGAGTAAATTCCGCGAACCAGTGTTGCCACCTTGGAAGGCACCAAAGTGAGCGGCGTGCTCTGCGGAGCCCCACCGTCCACTCTTGCCACTGTCCAGTGCAGCAGCAGGCTTTGACCTTTGCCAGTGTAAGTCACAACAGAAATCAGGGTTGGCCTGAGGAAGCTGCTTAGTGTGTCCTGCATGCGGAAGCCTGGGCTTGATCGCTGCTCCACACGGTCCCCCCACCCTGCCGGAAGCAGCCCCCAAACAAAGGAAACATAGATCTGTTTCTCTGTTCAGGGAGGGACCCCTCCAGACACGAGGGGGCTCACTTCTCTCAGAGAGCACTTTGCCTTCTTTCACAGAAGAAAGTGGACAAACTCCAGCAGGGATGACCCTTTGCTTCTCACGCTGGGCACTGAGAGCCACTGGCCTGCAATACCCAATGGGGTGCCTTGGATCCAACTCAGGCCAGAGTTCCAGGGTGCCCAGGTGGAAAGTGCAAAGACTCCTGGGAAGTCAGCCTTTAGGCTGGAGGCTGCTTAGCAGCGACCGTGGCCCCACTGCCCACCAGGCGATGACACGGAAACAGCCCCGGAGGAGGACAGCACTTAGGGGACGCTAAACTACTGCAGCCAAGAAGCCAACCCAAGCCCAGTGGCTTAGGGAAGTCCTGGGTCAACGGACCCATTTCGTCTCTGCCCGGAAGGCTGCATTATGGGGGTACGGGGGTGTCTGGTCAGCCATGTGAGGCACATTTGCTTAGGGGGCCACACCTGCGTGCCAGGAGGGTGGGCGGTCGGGCAGAGCAGTCCATCTCAGCGCCAGCTTCCCTGCTGGCATTCACAGGGGGATCCCTAGCGCCCAGGGTGTCTGCGTGAGGTGTCTGTCAGGGCAGGTCCCTGGACAGTCACTCTGGCCATGGAGATAACCAAGCATCTTCTTCATAGAAGCCAGGGACCCAACTCAGGGCCAGGGCGTGCTGCACGCTGGTCCTGTGCTCTGCGCCCTAATCGGGGCCCTCCTGCAGCCTGGCTGGTGCTCTGGGACTCGCAGTTAAAGGCTCGTGCCTGCTGCTGCTATCTCACTCGCCCTCCCTGCCCCACTCTTGGGCTAGACAACCAGCTGCCACCCAAGGGCATCCACCCGATGGGTGTGTCCCTCCTGCTCTGCGCCAGCCGTGCAGGGGCCACCGCGACCACAGTGGAGGCCTGACCGTGGCCCTCCGCCCTCTGGGCACCCGCTTCGCTGTCCGGCCGCGGACCGCCCCCGTGCCAGTGGCAGGAAGGCGGGTGTTGGGGGCTCGTGGGCACGCACGGCCCTCCCTGCCCTCGGCCGTGAGCAGGGCACTCCGGGGACGGGCCCTGGGCTCGCATCTCGCCGGGGAGGGCGAGGGCGAGGGCAGGGCGGGTCCAGGGCGGCCGCCGAGGGCCCGCGAGCTGCATCGCGTCCTGGGCGGCGCCGGCGAGGCCCGTGCGCGCCCTGGGGTCCTCCCGAGGCCGGCGCCAGCCCCACTGTCTGCCCGGCGGACGTCCGGGCGGGCGCCCCCGGGCTCGGTGCAGCTCACGCGCCCCGGCCGCCTCTCGCTGCGGCCCCGGCGACCCCCGCACACCGGCTGGACGCGGCTGCGGCGGCCCGGACCCCGGGAAGGCCCGGCCCTGCGGGCGCGCCAGGGCCACGCCCACTCCGGGGGCGGGGGCGGGCCAACCGGAAGGGGCGGGGCGGCGGCGGGCTCGTCCCACCCCCCGGTCTCGCCCGCCAATCGCGTCTGCGTCGACCGCCGCTCCCGAGGCCAGGTGCGCCGCGGCGCCTGCGCGTCCGTCCCGGGCCGACGTCCGCCTCGGCCAATCGGAGCGCGCGGCGGGCGGCGGGCCAATGGGGCGCGCGGGCGCGCGGCGGGCCGGGGCCAATGGGCGCGGGCGCGCGGCGGGCGCGCGGCGGGCGAGCGGGCGGGCGGGCGCCATGGCGGGTCGGCGCGGGGCGCTCATCGTGCTGGAGGGCGTGGACCGCGCGGGCAAGAGCACGCAGAGCCGCAAGCTCGTGGCGTCCCTGTGCGCCGCGGGCCACCGCGCCGAGCTGCTCCGCTTCCCGGGTGGGTGGGCGCGCGCGCGCGGCTCCGCGGGGGGAGGGGGAGGGGCCCGGAGAGGGACCCCGGGAGGGGCCGGGGGCTCCGGGGAGGGGCCGGGGGCTGCGGGGGCCGGGACGCTGCGGGGCGCCGCACACCCGCGCGCACCCGCGTGCGGAGAGGGGGCGGGGCCTGGCTGTGGGAGCGGGGCCCAGACCGGCCGCGTCCGCGCCCCCCGGCGCGCCCCTTCCCTGGCGCCGCGCCCTGCGCACGGCCCTGTCCGCCCGCGCTGGCGGCACTTGGACCGCACGGGTGGGAGGGGGCCGCCCCTGCCCCCAGGAACGGGGTCCGTTCGCGATGTGCGCACCCGGCGGTGCTTGGGGCCAGTGATTGAGCCAGGCCTCCCGCACGTGGCGTCCACGCTGCAGCCCCGGGGCCACCCGCCCGGGCTGCAGGGCGGTCCTGTGCCCCCCGTTTTGGAGGGGGAACCCCCTCCACGGCGCTCAGGGCCGAGCAGCGCCGGCCTCGAGCCAGTGGTTTTGTGTCGGGGCCGCCCCTGGTGCTCGCAGCCGTCGCGCGCGGGCTGAGCCGGGGCTCCTGGGAGCAGCTCCGGCCCTTGGCGCCCGTTCTTAAGGAAAAGGCGGCCTTGAAGGCGCTTGTGAAAGTGCTTCTGCTGAATGCCGGCTGCACTCCTCGGTACATTGCAGCACTGTGTGCATAGCCAGAATCGGGAAACAGCCTGAGTGCTTGAGAACAGACAATGAATCAGGAAACCACGGCACATCTACAGGTGAACACTCTGCAGCTATTAGGAAAGATGGAGTTACGAAATTTGCTTGTAAATGGATGGACATGGAGCGTATCATGCTGAGCGAAATGAGGCAGAAGGAGAGGGACAGACATGGGGTGACCGCACTCATTCGTGGGACATGAAAATGCATAGTAGAAGACTGATATCCACAGCCAGGGGAAAAGGGCTAGAAGGACTGGTCAGTGGTTGGAATCGACCACAAGGGTGTGGGGCGGCAGGAAGGCTAAGCTGCATAAGAGAAGGGACTGCTACGACAATAATAGCTGGAAATGATCACGCTGGACAAGAACTGAGTGTTAGAAGTAGGTAAAGGGATATACCGGATAACCTTTCAGAGTCTGTATTGCAAACCAAACGCCCAAAAGGATAGGAGGAAAGGAAGAGAGTCTGTCATCAAGGCAGGCTGGTGGGTGGGGGGTGATGGGCGGGAAACTGGGGACACTGGTGCTGGGAAATGTGCACTGGTGGAGGGATGGGTGTTGGCACACTATGGCTGAAATCCAGTCGTGTACAGCTTTGTAAGGGCCTATCACGGTGATTCAATAAAAAGATCTTTTTTTTAAAAAAAATCAAAGTATTTTATTCTTACTTAACAGAAAATTGCCCGTCAGCAACAGGTGATGAAATGTTTTCCCACAGGCGATGAACTGGTAGAGGGGAAAAGACTTTTTTTGAATACTTTTTTTTTTTTTTTTGGCTTTTTGGGTCACACCCAGAGATGCTCGGGTTCCTCCTGGCTCATGCACTCAGGAATTACTCCTGGCTGTGCTCGGGGGACCGTATGGGATGCTGGAAATCGAACCTGGGTCGGCCGCATGCAAGTCAAACGCCCTCCCCACTGTGCTATGGCTCCAGCCCCACGTACTCTCTTAAAGCCAACTAATCTGGAAGTCTTAAAAGCCTTCCCTGGGGTCACAGTCTGCACTCCTCCTCCGGAAGCTGAGCTCATGGTCAGCCTTGGGTCCAGGGCCAGGGGCTCTGTCCAGACCAGCTGTCACAGCCTGACTCACTTGTCTGTTTCTCAGAGCGCTCGACGGAGATCGGCAAACTCCTGAACTCGTACTTGGAGAAGAAGAGGGACGTGGAGGACCACTCGGTGCACCTGCTCTTCTCTGCGAACCGCTGGGAGCAAGTGTGAGGTGCCCCCCGGTGGTCTGAGTGATGTGGCGGCAGGGCGGGGGCCGGGCCTTCCCCAGCTCCTGCCTGTGGCCTGCCTGGGTTCCCACAGACCTAGTTTGTGCTTCTCCTTCCCTCCCCTGCGTGTGACTCAGGGCCTCCGCTCGAGGGCGGCTGGAAAGTGCACCAGCACGCACCGGCCCCCGCTCCCTGGCCTGTCCCATCCCTGTGGTGATGCTGTGACTGGGGACGGCTTGTGGGGGATTCCCCCTCCCACCCCCTTGCTTGTTCCCGTCACCTCCTGGGTGCCTGTGCTGTGGTTGGTGTAAGAGAGGCGGGCCCCCTCCCCCGGGTTATTTCTCAGGCCCTCCCTGGGCTCTTGCATGCTCTGAACAGGGCGGTGACACCCAGGGGCAGCCGGTGGTCTCGGGCCGAAGCCCACCACTCTGGGTCGTGCCTGGCATATGCCTGCTGCTCCCTCCCTCCCTGTGGCCACCAAGCCCACTCCGGGCAGGTGAAAGTGCCCGTCTGGCCTTCGACACCTCTGCAGTTTCCAGTTATTCTGAATTTGGGTTTCGTAGTGTGGGAAAGCAGTGGAGGCCCCACGTGTGAGGGAGGCTTGTGTGTCGGCCCTTCCGGTGTGTGGTGGGAACTCCAGCCAAGTGCCACGGTGTTCTGAGACACCCTGGGAGGCGTGCATGGCCGTGGTCTCCCACCCCACCCTGTCACTTGAGGAGTGTTGCCTGGCTTCTGTGTGACTTTCCTGTCCCCAGACTGTGCCATGTAAATGTTTTCTTCTTGATTCTGCCAGAGCCGTCTAGGGTTTCAGGTGGTTTTTGATTCGGTGACTCTTACGTTGGCTTGTCGTCATTCTGCAGGAGTTTTCCTGCTCTTCCATTTTACATCAGCGGACTCACATTACATTTTGCTTTGAGTCAGACATAACTATTCATTTTTTTGTTTGTTTTTCCTGTTTGGTTTTGGGACTGCACCTGGCAGTGCTCAGGGCTTGCATCTGGCTCTACCCTTGGATCACGCCTGGCGGCCTCAGGAGAACGTATAGTTCTGTGGATTGAACCCAGTTGGCTGTTTGCAAAGCTAGCGCCCTGCCTGCCTCTTGGGCCGGTTCTGTTTCTTTCTTTTTTTGTGGTTGAGGGTCATTATGGTAATGCTCGGGGACCATGTCGTGCTAGGATTTGAACTCCGCTTTCTCACATGCAGAGCACAGGCCCCTCCTGAACGCTCAGATTGTCTGATTGCTGAGGCTTGGTCTAGTTTCTCCTCCTCTGCCCCGGGCAGGGTTTGGGCCTGGCGGCTGAGCTGCAACTGTTGCTAAGGCCACAGTGCTCAGGGCTTGGGGGACCATATAGGGTGCTAGAGACTGAGCCTGTGTACAGGGCAAGTGCCCTCAGCACTTGAGTTCTGCCCCACTGCTCATGGGCTGTCCCTGTCCCAGTCCTACTCTGGACAGGCCTCCTGTTGCGTCTGTGTCCACGTCTCTGTCTCCCCATTATCCTGAGACCTGAGGGGTCTCCCTAGCTCCGTGTCTGTGGCCCATTTGTACGTTCTGTCCTACAAAATCTCTCATTTCTGGGCATGTCGTGGGTTTGGGATAGGTCATGTGTCGGACAGTGCAGGACAGACCGCTGCCCACCCAGGGCAGTGCAGGCCTGTCCTCCAGGTGTCAGGTCTCACACAGTGGCCCTCACCTGGGTATGGTGAGGGGTGCCACCTGGTGGGGATTACTGGTGAGGGGCTGCCAGCTGGTGGATAGAGCCATGGTGGTGGTGGTGCTGGCGACCTGTGCCCACCTTCCCGTGTCTGACCTCCTTGGGCCTGTGCCCCAAAGGAGAGGGCCATTTCAGCTTTCTCTGTTCTGGGCCCCAGTTCTCAGTTATGTCAATGGATCTGCAAATCAAACGTGGGGCGACAGCCACTCTTAGACATCACCCCTAGGGCTTGAGCAATAGCACAGCGGGTAGGGTGTTTGTCTTGCATGCGGCTGACCCAGGTTCCATCCCCGGCATTTCATAGGGTCCCTGAGCTCACCGGGAGTGATTCCTGAGTGCAGAGCCAGGAGTAAGCCCTGAGTATCGCTGGGTGTGGCCCCAAGGCAACCACAGAATAAATAAATAAGGAAACTATTTTAAAACCAGTATTTTCATTCTTAACCTCATACAATCCTGCATGTGGGGTTGAGGCCACGGTTGAAGAAGCCCTGCTCCCATGTCTGTCCTTTCCTGGTGGCTTTGCCCAGTGCCCGTGTGGCAGCGTGTAGTGGTGGTCCAGGGCCTTTCCCACCAGGGGCTGTTTCCTGTCACCTGAGACACGCCCTGTGGGTGTCTGGTTGGATTCGGGCCTCCCAAGGCAGGACCCTGACCCCAGCTTCTGCTCCCCAGGCCCCTCATCAAGGAGAAGCTGAGCCAAGGCATCACCCTGGTCGTGGACAGATACGCCTTTTCAGGGGTCGCCTTCACCAGTGCTAAGGAGGTGAGTGCCCAGGTGGGGCCGGGCATGGGTGTGAGGCTGCCCTGGCTTTACACAGCCCAGGTGCACCCCTCACTTGCTGTCCGTCCCGCTGTGGGCTTGCACACCCCGGACTCAGCTACCCCTCACTGGCTTGGCTGTGTCATTCTCAGTAGAAGAGCAGACACTGGTACGGCTGCTGATGGTTTCGTGGGCAGTATCAGTTGTGTCAGGATGAGTTTCCAAGTTGTCAGGAGTGTTCAGGGCCACAGAGTGGGTTCCAGGCAGGAGACCCAATGCATTCACCACTGCCGCCAGGAGTGACCATGAGCACAGAGCCAGGAGTAGTCCTCGAGCACCCGGACGTAGCTCCAGAATAAAACATTTTGAAGCAAGCGCATTCCCAGAGCAATGCAGAACTTTGCCTACGAGGGCTCTGCCCCTGTCCATTGCTGATCTAAAATGCTCCAACATGAACCGTGAGCAGAGGAAATGGCCAGCCACAGCCTCTGTCCCCTCTGAGTGCCCAGCACACCAGACGCTCAGTGCTCAGTGTGTCTTAGAAACAGCTGCCGGGGGGGAGGGGGGGATATGCACTGGTGCTTCCACACTGGCACCCTAGTCCCTCCTCACTCCGAGGCCCACCTGACCTGCCCACTCTCCCGCTCAGCTAGACAAGTGAGCATGGGGCCACGGAGGCCAGCTCAGCGTGTTGGTGGCATCTGTGGCCTAGTTTCCCCAGGATGTCCAGGGTCTCCTTGGGCCTCCACTGCCTCAGTGACTGCGGCCTGCTCTGTGAAGACCATGCCATCATGCCCAGGCCCTGAGACCTGGTGCAGAGCCCCCGGCCACCCTTCTCATGCTGGTCTTGGTTGCAGGACTTTTCCCTGCATTGGTGTAAGCAGCCGGACGTCGGCCTCCCCAAGCCAGACCTGGTGGTGTTTCTGCAGCTGGCGCTGGCGGACGCAACCAAACGCTCTGCTTTTGGGCAGGAGCGCTACGAGGACGGGCCTTTCCAGGAGCGGGCATTGCAGCAGTTCCAGAAGCTCATAGGGGACACAACGCTCAACTGGCAGGTGAGGCCCTCTCCTGTCTCTCTATCCTCCGGGCCGCAGCAGCATGGGCTCCCCACAGGGCTGTGAGAGGGCTGTTGGTGGTACCATGAACACCCCCGGCCGCCATGGGTCTTCCCCAAAGGGTGCAGATCTTCCAGGGTGGCTCCTTGCAGCCCATCCTGCTGCCCTGTGTGAACTCCAGAGGCCGGGGCTGTCCTGGGAGTGCAGGCTGCATCTGATGGGACACTGACCTTCCCTTTTTCTGGTCATGTCCTCGGACCAGGCTCAACTGTTGGCACCCCCTCATTGCTCATGCACTCCTCAGCTCCTGGTGTGGGCCCTGCCTGCCTCTTCCCTGCCCCACACAGTGGGGGCTTGAGGACTGCTGCAAATCCAGGTCCCGTCTCCACAAGGTCTGAGCACAGGCTCCAGGAATAGACTCTGACCACCACTGAGGGTGGCGTTTTTGGTTTTGGGTTGTTTTTTTTTTTCTTTTTCTTTTTGGGTCACACTTGTCTATGCTCAGGGGGTTACTACTCCTGGCTCTGCACTCAGGAATTACTCCTGGCGGTGCATAGGGGACCATATGGGATACTGGAGATCGAACCCAGTTGGCTGTGTGCAGGGCAAATACATGCAGTACTCCCCGCAGTACCCTTACTCTGGCCCCTAAACCATATATCATAGAGGGTGAGTCTCCTGCAGAGAACAGCAGGGTTCTGCTGGTCAGGAACTCATCACAGCTTGAGGAGCCCTGAGGTTGCTTGGGTGGGCCTGGACCTGCAGTGCTGGGCCAGGCTGAGCCAGGACCTGGCCTCTGGCTTCAACAGCAGCCTGGGACTGAGCATCAGGAGACCCCCTTGACACCCTCACTGTTCCTGTCACTTGGTCCTTGCCTGTCCTTGGTTTCCTTGTGGAAAAGGCACAGGAGCCCCCAGAGGTGCCAGGGAGCTGGAAGGGGCCCTTGGACCTGGAAATGGAGTAAGCCGCTGGCACAGCCATAGATAATAGGTTGGTGATGAACTTCCTCTCCACAGTGGGGCTGGCCACTATTAGCTGCATGCAGGATAAGCACTGAAGCCCCTGAGGATTCTGGCTTGGTGATTGGTGGAGCTCAAACCTGGGCTACCTAAATGCAGGCTGAGTACTGAGCTCTGAGATATTCCCAAGCCCTCCCCACCCCGAGTGGTTCTGGGTCCCCAGGATGAGGGGGGACAGGGGTGTCCTCGTGGGGAAAAGCTGCTAGGTAGTGGGACCAGTATCACCCTTGTCCCTGGGCCGGGGTGAGGGTGGGACCCAGTGTAGCCCCGGAGTCCAGCCAATATTCTCAGCATGGGAAGCACAGTAATGGTCCCCTCTGGTGCCAGGTGGTGGATGCATCGAGGAGCATCGAGGCTGTGCACGAGGAGATCCAGAAGCTCTCGGAGGGCACCATCCGGGCTGTGGCACACAGGCCTCTGGGACAGCTGTGGACATAGCATCAAGCTCCTGGCAGCTGGGGGCCGCTGAGGACAGGCCCCGCCCAGCTGGCTCCGAGTGGAGCCAAGGGTCACATGGGGGCATGCCAGGTCCGTGGTGGGTAGTCCCATTGCCATCTCTCTCCTAAGGAAACAAGTGAAGGTTCATCTGCCATGAATCCAAGAAGGGTGCCCAGCTGGCACTGCTGCCTCAGGCACAGGCTCCCATAAATGCTATTGGACATATGTGTCAAGGTCTCATGTCCTTAGCCCCTCTGTGTGGAGGGTGTGTGCCAGGGTGCCCAGGCTTCACCAGGTTCCTTCCTGGCCAGCCTGTCCGCACCTGCCACTTACTGTTGTGATGGAGCCGGCAGCTTCACCTTGTCCTTTCTTGTGTCCCTCGTGTGGCCTGGACGGCTGCACTTGCTAGTACTGCTCTGCATGTGACGTGGGTGGGAGGTTGTTTGTGGGGTCGCTTAATGCACACCCTGACCTGAGTACACCCTCTCAGGTGGAGAGTGGTTGGCTTAGAAGTGGCAGGGGCTGGAGAGAACCACGCTGAGTGGGGTCCTGAAGGCAGAAATGATCCCCATAATCAACAGTCCCGACCCTGAGGGGGGGCTTGGGGGCCAGAGCCCCCCAGGCCCACTGTCTGCCTGCCCATGGTCGGGTGACATCAGGACCTCTGAAAAGGCTCGTTTTCCTCCCCACCCAACTCTTCACTGGGGACAAAGCACGAGACAGACAACTCAGTCTTCTATTGAAATTCTTATTATTTGCCATTAAGAATTGCAAACTACACTAAGAATGAACCACATTCTCCACAGCGAGCCTCTCAGAACATGTGAGACAGCTTACAGGCGCAGCGCCCCACCTGTGTCCACCCTCTGTGCCCAGCCAGTGTCCGTGTGGGCAGGTGGGCTTCCTGCTGCAGGGGGAAGCTGCTGCCCTCGCCTGCCCCATGGCTGGGTCACCTGTGTGAGGAGTGAGCCAGAACCTGCAAGGAGCCACCTGGGCTTTACCTGCAGCGGGGGTTGGGGGGGGTCTTTCCTCACAGGGGCCATGCAGGTGACTTCTTTGGAGCCCACTTTTCACCACCCAGTGGCCAGGCGGCCCAAGCTGTGACTCCTTCCACCCTCAGTCCACTGAGGCTGCTGTGGGGTTAGGCTGGGCGCCCTGCGCCTCACAAGCTACGGCAGCTCTTCGGAGACTTGGATGTGGGACACACCTGACAGAAAGTCACGTCTGTGTGGAGCGACTTCAAACAGGACTTTAATCCCCAAGCAAACCCAGAAAGCAGCAGGGTGGAGCGGCATGATGCAGGCTGCAAGGGTGAGCCCTGGGTCGGGCTCTGCGTTTGCACCCTGGGCTGGGCTGAGCAGTCCCTCTCCTCCAGGATGGGCCTCCGCACCGGGCGGGCTGGATGGATGAGATGCAGCGGCCCTGAGCACCCCAAGGCAAGGCTGGCTCTCGAGGGCACCCCAGTGAGGGCCAGCAGAGACCATCCCGGCTATAGGACTCTCAAAGGGACAAGATTTCAAAGTCTTCATCTTCTGAGTCAAAGAATCTTTCCAGTCGCTCTACATCTGAAGAATCTAAAAAAACAAAAGCCCCTCAGACAGCTGGCACAGATCACCCCAGGTGTGGCAGGCACAGTTCAGGCCGCCGGATCTGCACCTGGGCTCCTTGTCCCTTGTCCAAGCGCCTAAGTCTATAGGGAATTGGGGAACACACGTTTTGCTGGCCAGACCATGGGCTCTGTCCTTGTTGGGGTGCTGAGCTCAGGATCCTAGATGTGAGTAAGCACCACCCCACTGAGGCCATTCGTGGGCGCCATGCTGGAATGAGGGCTAGGAAGAGGTGGCTCGGTCCAGACCCTGCGTTCTGGTTCCTGCAGTTCAGGACACGCATGAGGAGACCCCCCAGCAGCCTGCTACCATGAGCCATGGAGACTTGCAGGGCAGCTGATGCTGGGCCCACCTGCAGCCTGGGGCTGTGCGCCCGTCTCACCAGTCTCCTCCCATTATTGCCAGATGAGCCCAGTTTGCTGTAATGACCACTGTTGTTTGAGGTCAGTGCTACAGGAGTCAGGGAAGAGTCGGGACAGCGCAGAGGCCAGTGGCAGGTGCCAGTCTCAGTGGCCTCTGGATGGAGCTTCCTGAGGAAGGCCCTCTGTGCTTGGGCACACCCCTTACATGAAGAAAAATCGCTGTCTCTCGGGCCACTACATGGGGTTGGCCTTGCCAAGCCCTGACACCAGGAGCCCCAACTGGGTGGTGCCTGATGGCCTGGGGCACAGGCCACCTGTGCAGCTCTCAGCACAGCCTATTACGGAGTTAGAGACTCTCCCTGGCTCTAATGTCAAACACCCAGTCTGATGGCTCAGAACCAGCTCAGAGACACAGAGCTCCGTGGGGACTAACCCATGTGTATCAGAGTATCAAACCTCACAAAGGGAACTGAGCCCCTGAAGGCATTTTTCTTCAGGCCACATCAGGTGTGGCTGTGGGAGGCACTGCATGGTTCCCAAGCACTACCAGGTGCAGCCAAAGGCAAGAGAGGTCAAACTCAGGCTCTGGGCATGCAACACACCATGGGCAGCCTTTTCCATCCCCTTCAGGTGTTCGTTAAGTGAAAGGTTCTAGTGGAACGGGTGGAGGGGCCAGCGCACCATCCCTCCTCTGCTCTGACAATGCAACAGTATCTCCAGCTCATTCATTGCATCATGTGCTTGGTGGTGAGACTCTAGCCAGATCCTAGATGAGCCATGCTGGAGGGTGTCCGGGTGTCCTGGCCAGGGTGGATGAGCAGACTGAGGCGTCACGTGGCCACTGTAGCAGCTTTCTTGAAACTCCATCACACCCAGCTCCGGCTGCTGGCCCAAAGCCTAAGAACTTGTGTGGGTCTACAGATTCCAAGGAAAGCCCTTCCCTGAGGCTCCTCTGGGGCTGAACTCTGGAGAGTCTCCCACCTCAGGCCAGCTGCCGGATGCTATCCTGCCTTGGGCCATCCAACAGCAGCCCGTGTCCTTCTAGCACCTGCTCTTGTGGTATAGAACCAGAGTCCCAGGAGAGACAGCCCACCTGTCCCTTCCTTGCCATAAGAACAGTGACACTGCCCCAACAAGGGAACAATTCCACACACGGCCCTTGATGACCAGCCCCTTGGTGAGTCACACCAACCCCAAGACTCAAGGTGGGGTCTCTAATACACATTAAGGGGAGCTTGCCGGGCTGGGAATGTGCCTCAGTGGCAGAGCACATGTCTGGTATGCGAGAGCGCGAGTTGACTGCACCTGTGCCCAGACTTGAACGGGATCAGCCCATTTCTTCCACCTTCACACACGGGTCACAGTCTCTTAGAAATCATCATGCAGGTACCCTCTCCCCAAGGACGGAGCCTTGATGGGCTGTGGGAGCCTGGGCTCCATCCCTGGGACTGCACCGTCCTAATCACCAAGAGTTATCCCTGGCACCAGACTGGGCATGGTCCATTAGCAGTCACAGTAAACTAAGTGCAGTTCTCTCACCGCTTGATGCCTGCAGCACCCCTCCATAAAGTCTCAGGCCACAGGCACGTTCACCCAAAAGTTTCCGGAAGCTCCCCCAACGCCCTCCGAGGGCACTGGCAAAGAACCTCACTGCCTCCTCACAGGGTACAGGCACTAATACATGCAGGGGCTCCTCTCCCTGTGAGAAGGATCTCCTCTCCGTGTCCCTGTAAGAAGCATCTCCTCTAAGGTCCCCCTTCCCTGCTGTCCTTCCCTCTGAGTCCATTTCACTGGCTGGTGCTCCTTAAATTTGTTCCTGCTCTGGGGTGGATTCTGGATTGTTTCCATGTCCCTCCCACCCTGACCATCTGCTTGAGTTGAATGCACCAACAGTATGATTATAACTCAACCGGCCAAAACTTGTGCAGAATCCCCAGAAAGTGCAGCTAATATACCTATTCTCTTTCATCTAGACCTGGGATCCGCCTGCGGACTTCTAAACTCTCAGCCTGAGAGGATGGCAGGGCCCCCATGCATCTGGCTTTTCTTTCATCCACACCCGATCAAAGGGCTCACATTCATGCTATAAAACTCTTAATTGCTCTACAAATAGCCATGTTCTGGTCGGACATGAGTATCAGTCTTCACAGGAATGGAGAACCTTAAACCACAGGCTCTGGAAGAGACACCTGGTCCACAAAGGCTCCCTGCGTGGCCGGCCCATGGGCCTGACTGGAGGGAGCAACTGTCCGACAAGGCTTGCCTCACACCAGGCGGACAGAAGGTTAGAGCCCAAATCTGGCAGCAGCAGCAGGAGTCCATCCCAGGACAGCAGAGTATGTCTGACTCAGAGCAGACTCCACCGCAAGGGTCTGAAGTTTGCTTCCTGCCATTCCTATCACTCCACTGTCACAACAGAGGTCCAATGTGTGCTCTTGACCTCCACATTGCACAGGACACCCAACACAAGACCCTCCTGGCCACAACCCAGGCCATCCACGTTTGATCAGGAATTCCTTCAAAGACCCTGATCACAAGGGGTGGAAGTAATGGGTGGAGAGAAACACTGGTTGCTCGAGGTGGGCTGGCCGAGTGGAGGAAGTGGCTGTGCCTAATCCTGGGGCAGCCCCTGTCCAGCGGGGAGCTGGGACGTGCATGCATGTCTCACCCAGAGAATGCACCGACCACACAGCCTTTTTTTGTTTTGCATGAATCCATCTTGTTGGAAAATTACTGCACTTAGAGGCTAACACCAGTAACTAACTGGCTGTCTCTAGGGTTCACGCAGATCTTAAGGTAGTAAAAAAACAGCAACAAAGATGGGCCCAGGCCCAGAGCCACCCAGCCTTCCCCCATCACAGGCCTGTGGCCTCCAACTCACCTAAGGACAGGTTCAAGACGTCAGGACAGGCCAGGTGGGAAGGCTGCTGTTCCACCAGCTCAAACATAGGCAGGGCACCTCCAAGCTGGGACAGCTACCAGCAAGACACAGCCATGAGGGGACAGAATGAGTCCCCAACCCACCGCCCCACAGAGAGAAGGCCACACCAGGCTGCCCATCCGACAGGACATGACAGAAAGCCGCGTGTGGGGCCCATGTGGCCTTGACCCCTTCCAGGTCACATGCAGCGTCTCCCCACACAGCTAGGAAAGGAATGGAAGAAGTGCTGCGGGGTGGGCATGGGGGAACCGAGCTGCTACCCACCTTTCTGACCTGCTGGCACCAGTCATCGAAGTCGCCTTCTGTCTTACAGAA